ACCGAGGCGCAGCGGGGGGAAGAAGGGGAAGCGGCCCCCTGCCCAGGTGCTGCCCCCCAAGGGGGTCCTCAGAGTCACCCCCCGCTGCACGTGTGATTTGGGGTCCCCCTTGCAGGGACCATGAATCACCCATGACGGGGCTGTGCCCCGCCACGTAGTGCCACGTGTGGGAGGTGAACACACAGTCTTGCAGGTCTCTGTCCCCCTGCAGCCTTCCCTTCCCAAGCGCCTGCACCCCAAAGCGCTCCGGACTCTCTCTGACCTCCCCAAGGCAGGAAAAGGAGCTTTGCAGTGTCCTCTTGCTGGCTTTGGGGAGGGGGACTCATACACAGAGGAACTGCCCTGTGCTGCCAGGCCTTGCCCTCTTAGCTTATATTGCACCCTCCCCATAGCACTTCCGTGAAGTGCAGAGGTCCCCAGGCAGCGCTGGTCGTGCTGGGGGTGGCCAAACCCCGTGGGGGACCCCTCTGTGGGCTGCTCTGGCCGTGCTCTGCTGAGCTGACTGTGCTGGCTCTGTCTGTCCTGCCCAGGCTGTCTGTTTGACCGGAGGCTCTGCTCCCCGCAGGAGGTGTGTGTGCAGGGTAAGTGGCTGTGGGGGGTCCCTCATTGCTGCCCTCTTCAAGAGGGGTAGGGGTGAAGGAGTGTCTGGTTGGGGAGCTCAAATTACAGTGGGGGTGATATCAGAAGAGAGCTGGTGCTGGGTCCTGAGGCCCATTCTGCCTGGGGGGGCTGTGCCTGCCCCACTGCTGCTGCTCTCTTGCAGATGGGCTCTTTGGGCAGTGCCAGGTGGGCTCCGTGCAGGACAGACCCTACTTCCAGGTCACGTCGCCCGTGCTGCAGCGCCTGCAGGATGTCCTGCGGCACCTCATGGCACAAGGTGAAGGAGGAAGCACTGGGGGTCGGGGCTCACGGTGGTCCCTTGGGGACAGGGTGTCAGGTAGCACTGCCTAGTGGCACCTTAGGAGAAGGCCCCTAGGGGTCCCACTGGCCCCAGGGGCCAGAATGTGGTGGGATAAAGGTGGATCCAGCTGATCCTGCGAGGAGTGGGATGGGGCCGGGACAAACCCAGGCTATGGGGGGCAGGTTTGGAGTAGCCAGGTACCGGAGCAGCATCCCATGTGCTTCCCACATGGCACCCAGGCCCCTCTGTATCTAATGTGTCCCGTCCGGTGCTAGGGCTGTCGTGGCAGGACGGCATCCCGCAGTACGTGATCTCCCAGGAGATGGGGCGTATCCCCCGCCTCCGCCCCCCGCCCCCCCTGGGGGACAGGGAGGGCTGCTCCCTCCTGCCGCCCGGAGAGCGGAGCCGGCTGGGGGCCTCACGCGGCGGCGCTGAGGACGGGCTGTGGTGCCACCACCAGGTCCCCTGCTAGCCCCTCCTTCCTGCTAGGCAGCACAGGGAGGGTTTCAAGCCCCACTGGGGCTTGGGGTGGAGCCTCCCTCTTGGCACAGCTCTGGGGTCAGGGTGGCACCCAGGGCTGGATGGGGAGCAGCCCCGTCCCCTGGTGGGTCACACCAGTGCCGTTTGCCTCCGAGGTTCCTGCCTCTGCGCAGCTCCCCACGGAGAGCCCTGCACCCCGTGGACGCTGGCCTGCCGGCGGGCCCGCCACCGGGGCAGGCCACCCCCCCGCGCTGCTGCAGCGCTATCTGGAGCACCTACTGCTGCCCCCGCCGCCCCAGCTCACCTATGAGGAGGCCCTGCTGCAGCCCTACTCCTACCACAAGGTACGTCAGCGATGGGGCTGAGCCCCTTGCCCCGCCAGGCACAGGAGAGCTGCTGCAGTCCCAGCATCCTTGCTGTCCCTGGGCTGAGGGTGTCCCCAGGCCCTGGGGACACACCGGCATGGGGTGACTGGGGTCCTGGGGACCTTGACCCGAAGACAGGGCTGTTCTGTGTTTTGGTTGCAGTTTGGCTACCAGGACGGCGCTCACCAGCTCCCAGGCACCTCAACGCGGCAGAGCCCCGACACCGCCGCGCTGCTGGGCCGGGTCCCTGCCCAGGCCCTGTTTGGGGCTGGCCCTGTGCCCTCCTACAGCGGACAGCCAGGGACGGACGGGGGGCATCTCTTCCAGGACTTGGGGATGCTCTCCCTGCCCAGGGAGAAAGCCACCCGCGTGGACCCGGCCCCCGCCAGGCCCCAGCACAGCCTGCGCCTCCCCAGTGACTTCAGGGACATGGAGAAGGAGCAGCCAGCAGCCCTGGCCGCCCAGCCAGCCCCAGCACAGCCAGGTAGCACATGTTGCAGCCAGCCCCGTCCTGTCCCCACAGCCATCTTCCTCGTGCTTCAGGCTCTCTCCTGATGGATTTGTGCCCCTGCCCCCAAGATGCAGGAATACCCCCTCCCTGGTCCTGCCAGAGACCTGTCCCAGGTGCTGCTTCCTGAGCCCATGATGCAGGGCACAGGGCTCCCCGTGATGCTGTGTCCTCTTGCAGACGCTGCCCTGAAGAGATTGGCCTCCATCCTGGCCAGCTACGGCCTGGCACTGCCGGAGCTGAGCGCCCAGCAGCTGGGCAGCCTCTTGGCTCTCTTGCAGCTCCTGCAGGGCCCAGGTGAGCGGGACACATGGGACAGGGTGGGCAGCCCCAGGGTCCCCCATGTCTTGGGGCCGGGAACTGCCTCGGAGCTGGCTCGAGTGCAGATCCCACATGAATCCCTCTCTCCCTCGTAGGAGCCGCTGGCCCTGAGGTGCCCTCAGCCAAGCGGGTGAGTTTGCCCCGCGGTGCCGGAGGAGGAGCTGTGCAGGGGGCACGCGTGGGGCCGGGGAGCAGCCCCCAGACTGCTCAGCGCTCACAGCTGCTGCCTTCCCCTCCCTGCAGGTGGCAGAGGGGGACATGCAGCATGGAGAGGAGCCAGAGCCCCTGTCCCCCACGGCGCCCCCCTCCGTGACCCCC